GCTGGCGAAATTAGCCGTGCCAGTTTGGAGGTGTGCTGAGAGCTTGGCCCATCGCGGAGGAACAGATGAGCTCACCCCCCCCCCCCCCCCCCCCCCAAAAAAAAACAGGAGTGAAAGAAAGAATTGTGGTCCAGTCCAGGCAAGTCGGCCAGAGCTGAGGCAACTTGATCCCATCTTTTCCAGGCTAGGGCAGCAGTGTCCAGTCTTGTATGGGTAGCTTGACTGGCACGGGGCAGCCCCCGAAGCAAGGCCAGCGGTAGTCACGCCCTATGGCTGATCCTAGAGCTCAAGAGGCCCAGAACCTCCATCTGGGACTCATGCCCAAGGATGGTCCCTCCTTTTGGGAAGAGCCGTGACTTGGGTTTGTTGAGTTGCCGCGCTGGGGAAAACAGTGTTCCAATGTATGGCTGGTTTTCCGGCCTTTGCCCGGGCCCGGTAAAACCAGGAACCAGGCAGCCCTGCCCCTGCCAGCTGCTGGGACAGCCTCCAAATTCTGGCCTCGAGTTTACATGCTCGGTGTTGAAGGGCGAGAGGGGCGAGCAACAAAAGTTGGAACGGTTGAACTCTGTAGCTGGCCCGGAAGTTGACACTTAGAGCAGGGCTCCCCAATCCTGGTCCGTGTACTGACACTCAGTTTGCAGCATGCCGGGACCCAGTCCGTGCCCACAACCCATCTGCACACACGTGGGATGCAGTAAGTACACAAAACCACGTTCCTCTGGTCCGCAGAGAAACTGTCCTACATGGAACCGTTCTGCAGTGCCCAAATCTTGGTAGCCACTGCCCTAGAGAGAGAACCAGCTGTCCTCTCCCCTTTATTCCCCAGGGTGCCAGGAGGCCAGGTGCAGCACCTCCTCCCGCGTTAGCCGGGCACGATATGGTTTTGTAACCCCTTTGTCATCATTTTTGGCTGGGCATGGTTTTGTACGGGTGGCAACAGTGTGGATCGTATAATGTTGCTCGCCGAAGACAGGCACTGTTCTACCCTCCTGAAGGCTTTTCGGTAACGTTCCTCCCAGGGTGCCAAGGCAGGTTGAAAAGTTGAAACCTCTTATCTGAGAGGTTGTAAATTTTTGGGCTGCTGGTGGGGAAAGACCCCACAATTTTTTGTTCAGATCAAATATGGCCTCTGCAAAGATGCTGTGGGAAACAGTGGCAAAATCTAGCAACCCTTGTGGGAAACTCCTGGAAATTTGGTTATTTAGCCCCCAAAACCGTGATGGTGAATGTATGTGGCATACGTGCCGCAGGAAAACGTACCTCACTGCGCATATACACACCTCAGCTGATTTTTCGGTTGGTTTGAGGCCTATTTCGGCCTCCCAGAGGCTTGAAGAAAGCCTTTGCAGGCCGAATAACAGGCTCATGTGACAATACGGACCTATAATTCACCCTGCAGAGACTTTCTTCAAGCCTCTGGGAGGCCGAAATAGGCCTCAAACCAGCCGAAAAACAACATGTGAGGTGCAGTGTAGGTAAGGGGGTGGCGGGGGGGATTGTGTGCACATGCGCAGGAGGCATGGAGGGGTGTGTGTATTGCCTTCTGGGTGCTGATATGTGAGCGCATAAGCGCGCACACAATTTTTGGCACAGGAGCCCAAAAAGTTATCCACCACTGCCCCAATATATGCGGGAGAGGGTGGGTGGGACGGAAGAGATGTTTGAATTGGGGGGAGAATCCTGAGCTCCCAGTACCCCTTTCCTTTATATTTTGCCTATCTGCACCTTTGCGGAGCTGCTTCACATTCGTGGAAACCCCCTGCCCTCTTAACTGTGGCCAGCTAAAACAACTGTGGCTCCCCCCCCCCCAAAAAAATAAAATTGGGTCCCAAAGGGCTACTTGTGGGCTCAGGTCGGCGGGCTTCAGCAGGACACATAACAAAGCCGCCTTCGGAATGAGGGAGCCGTGAGGTCATCCACACATGCCCCGGTCCTTCGGTGCGAGGAGAGGCAGCGACACTTTGCAGAGGTGGCAAACGCTCTGAATGGCAGGACTCCCCCCTCAATCGTTGAGAGTGGGACGAGCCTGGCAGGATTGGGGAAGGGAGGTCAAAGGTTGGGTGGGCAGAAGTCTCCTTGTTCTACGTCCGTCCAGGACCTGAGCTGTTGGGTCGACAGAAGGAAGGACATCGTTGCTCCCCTTGTCCAGAGCAGCCAGTCAATTGCTTGTGCCCCCGAGCATGCAGGGGGTTGCCCTCTCTGTTGCCCCTCCCCCTTTTCCTCCCAACATTTGGGGGGGTCCCCCCTGTGCATGGCAGTTCCCACCACCATCACCACCACTTCGCCTTTCGATAAATGCACAACGCCCATCACTGCCGACATCGTTTGTTTATACCGGACTTCCTCGGCGCATTGAGATTGCTTGGTGTTCAGGATCTGGTACAAGAATTGGGGTGCGGGGGGATTCTTCCTTCCTTCCTCACCCACCCACTTTCTCCCTCCTGCAACTGACATTTTTTTTGCCGAGCACATCTGGGCCCCCCACTAACGCTGATAGGAGATGGTCAGGCCTGACACTGGACAGAAAAGAGACTGCTGTCCCCCCGCCCCAACCCCCCCGTCTTCCCCTTGAACCCCAAGCCCGGAGACTCCATCCCAACCCCTCCCCCCCCCCCGTGCTTGCATCCCCTTCTGCAAGTGGCCTCCGAAAGACACTTCATGCCTCCATTAACCCCGACAAGGCCTGTAAGGGCCTATTCCAGATGTATTATGATGATGATAATTATGTCTATTATTTTCTTGAGCTATGTTTATTTGCAATAAAGGCTTTCTTACAGTTGGGGGGGTGTATGTTCTTAGTGGTGTAAGTGTGAAAGGGACGGAACCAAGGGGTGGGATTCGACTGGTTCGTGCAAACTGGTTGTTCTTCAGGTAAGTGTTTGGCCCTGCCCCTGCTCTTTGCTCTATTTCCTATGTCTTTTTTTCTTTTCTTAGCACGGCTTATTCACACGGCAGAGTGATTTTGTGCGCCTCAGCTGTTTTGAGTTCACTGGGGTGGGGCTGCAGTAGAAGGTAAGTAATTCAGTTTAAAAAAGAGCTTTTTAAAAAAAAATGTGTCAGGGCTCCGACAATCCAACCTCCATTCCAATCCTAAGTCTCAATAGTTTAAAAAATGATTTATTAGGAGTGACCATGTTGGCATTACCTGGGTGCAGCCGACTTTGAGACACATCATTTCACTCTTGAATCTGGTTTTTTAATTTTTTTATTCTTGTTGTATATATGTATATATATATGTATATATATACACAGTATACATTCAATGAAATCCACAAATTTCCCCCTATCCCCTGGATGTATATTCTCCAATGGAACACATCCATAGCCAAGAGTCATCCATCACACTCTCCGGTAATAATATTGCATGCCAACAGCTTCGGCCACCTAGCAATTATCGGAGGCATTTAAGGAATGCACTGCTTTTCCCCCCACTCCATAAAAAAATTGAGGTGTTTTTTTTTTTAAGTTGACACGTAGAGCACATGCACACACGTGCTCCCCAAATCAGTTGTTAACCCAGTTTGAATCGCCCAATGGCAAGGAAAGCTGGATTGCCCACCCAAAGCATGTTGAGATTGTTCTTTTGGGGGAGAACGTGGAGAAGAGCAACAATGGGGCCGACGAGCCTGAAGATGAAAATGTACCCCCCCCCCCCCAAAAAAAAACCCACAATGGCAGATTCGGATATGTCCCATTGAATGAAAAAAAGGACAATAGAAAGAATCCAGTATAAGGGGGTGGGTTTCCATTTTTTTTCACAAAACACTGGAAGGCAAAGACGCGAAGCACTTGATGGAAACTTGCAGAGGAGAGAAGCAAGCTGGAACAAAGGAGAAAGCTGAACGGTGAAGGATGATTAACCGGTGGAACTGTTCACCACTGGAAGTTGGAAGCAGTCCCATCACTGGAGGCTTTGAAGAAGAGACCGGACAGATGCTTGGTGTGGAATGGTAAGAGGGCCTCGAGCTCAAGCAGAGAGTTGGCCTAGATAACCTTCAAGGTCCCTTTTGATTCTCTTTTTAACTCTGAAGTGGTGTAGGCTCTCACGTTTGAGCAAGGGCGGGACTAGACGACCTCCAGGGTCCCCTCCAACTCAGGTTATTCAATGTCTCTGCAAGGATCTGCTTGAGCCGGGTGTTGGACTAGAGCAGTGGTCGCCAACCAGTGGGCCAGGGACTACTGGGGGTCCATGAGAAAATTTTGGTGGTCCGCAGAGAAATGTCCCCCCCAAAGCAATTAATCGAGGCTGCGCGGGAACACAAGGCTTGCATCGCTTGCATTGTGAACAACATAAGGTAGTGAGGGGACGGGGGAAAAGGCAGGCGGGGACTTGCCCCACATGCCTGGCCTGGCCACCGGGCTGCTTCTTTCCATTTCTTCTGCTTTTGGCTGCACGCAAGGAAAGCAGCCAAAGTCTTTCTCTCCCTCAAACTCTGCCAGAAATGAGTCTTGGGGACCCTGCAAGGCCTCCTGCTCCAAGAGGCTGCGCCGGCAAAGACTCATTTCTGGCAGAGTTTGGGGGAGAGAAAGAAAGACTTCTGCTGCTTTCCTTGCATAAAGCCAAAAGTCTCTCTCCCCCTGAGAACGGAGCTGGAGACGGAATCCTGTGATCCCAAATAAAGAATGATAGATTGGTAGGGGTGGGGGATTTTCCTGCAAAATTTATTTGGGATTTTTCCAGGGTCTTTGGTCCGCGGGATTTAAAATTATTACTTTGGTGGTCCCTGAGGTCCAAAAGTTGGTGACCCCTGGACTAGAGCAGTAGTCCCCAACCACCGGGCCCCGGACCAGTACCGGTCCGTGGATCATTTTGTACTGGGCCGCCTATTTTGCTTGGGCGCCACCATCTTGTTTTGACGGCGCTTGAGAAAGTGCTTCCGGGTGAGCTTGTTGGTCGTTGGTTGGAAAGCGGCGTTTGGGTGCTGAAGGAATCCTCGCGCCTTAGTTTCGTTGAAGCGGGGGCGGCTTCGAACGAAGAGCCGTCCCGATGGCAGTGGAGTCTCACGTTACTCAGGAGGAGATTAAGAGCCCGAAAAGCCCATCGACCACGAGAAGGTACAAAGGAGGAGTTGAAGGTGGCGGGGAGAAGCAGGGGACGGCTGGTTGGCCTGTCGCTCGGCTCGCCTTGCCTTGGTTGTGTGTGCTGATGCCGGTACTGGTCCGTGGATAGGTCCGTGGATTGTACCGGTCCGTGGTACAAAAAAGGTTGGGGACCACTGGACTAGAGGACCTCCCAAATCCCCTTGCAGCCCTGTGATTCTCTTTCTCTGAACAGTAGTGGGTCTCCTGTTTGAGTGGGGGGTTGGACTAGATGACCTCCGAGGTACCTTCCCACTCTGATTCTAGGATTCTGTAAGGGTCTCCCACTTGAACTGAGATGGACTAGGAGAATTCTAAAGTGCCTTTAAATTCTGATTCTGTTATTCTGAATGGTCTAGCGTCTGTTGCTTGAGCTGGGGTCGGACTAGATGACCTCCGAGGTCCCTTCCAACTCTGTTATTTTATAATTCTGTAAGGGTCTCCTGCTTGAGCAGGGGGTTGGACTAGAACAGCGGTCGCCAACCAGTGGGCCATGAGAAAATTTTGGTGGGCCGCAGTGAAATCTCACCTTCAGAGCACCCCCCCCCAAAAGCAATTAATCCAGGCTGCTCAGCCCACATGGCCGGTGGGAACCCTCCCCGCCCACTCACTCCTTACCCAGTAAACTTGTCTGCTAAGTTGCTACTTTTCCTTTTTCCGACCCTCATGGGTTCTGCTGTGCCGGGAGATTTAGATTAGCTAGGAAGCAGGAAATGGTTGGATTAGATCTTCAGCTCTGCTTTTAAGCACAGCTGAACCTCCTTTAGGACTGAAGGTTTGCTTGCAAGCAAATTTCATGTGACAGACTGAGCTAGCCGATGGCAGAATCATAGATTTCTGAATGAATCTGTGATTCTGTGAGCAACTCAATCTGCCTGCCTGCTTTGCCCGATTTTGGGTAAGTTGCTCTTTTATTTAAAAAAAATCAATATTTATATAAATATTTATAATATTTACATACAAGCCATGCCCAGCCAGTCACATGACCACCAAGCCACACCCACAAATTAGGCCACACCCACATAACCAGTTAGTGATTCCTGGAATTATGAGTTTGGTGGTCCCTGAGGTACAAAAGATTGGCGACCCCTGGACTAGATGACCTCTCAAGCCCTTTTGCGACCCTGTTAATTCTCTTATTCTGAACGGTAGATGGTCTCCCACTGGATGGGGGAGGGTTTGGACTTGATGACCTCCAGGATCCCTTCCAGCTCGATTGTGTCTTGAATTCAGCAGGAATTTATCTCTTCCCCCACCTCCTTCCCCAATTTAGAACTTTAGAAGAAGCAAGCAGGCTCCGGCTGCCTGGGGAGGGGGAGAGGGAGCACACAAGAGGGGAGGGGGCCACTCATTTCTCACCTGCCCCAAGGTTCAGACACACTTGCCCCCCCTTTGGACCAGAGACCCCCGACCACAAAGTTCTGGAAATTAAGTGGGGAGGGGACTTGGGAGGAAGGAGGGGGCTTGTGGGGGAGGGAGGGGACTTGGGGGTGGGCGGATGGAGGGGTTTGAAGCCACCCAAAAAAAGTTTGTGGGAACTTTCCCCTCCATTTTCCCACAGGGAAAGTCGAGTGGCTAGACCTGCAGCATCTCTAAATGCCCCCCTCCCTCTCCAAGATGGGTGGGGGCTGGGATCTTGGGAAGAGCCGGGAGGGAAGGAGGTCGTCATCCAGCTGTAAGACCCCTCCCCCTTTTTTTGGAAAAGGCGGGGGGTGGAGAGAAAGGCTCCGCCTTTCCTTTAAACCTTCCTTGTTGCGCGCTCCATCCTCCTTTTGGGGGGGGCTACAAAAAGGGGTGGGAGGTGGGCTTCTTCGACCCGCCCTCTCTCCTTCCTTGCAACGGCTGGTGTCTTGCAACAGCGCGGATGGCTGGAGGGCTACGTTGGGCGCGGGGGCGGGAGGAGAAGGGACTGGTTTTGCAAGGGGGAGAGGGTCGTGGGTCCGGGTTGGCCCCGCCCTCCCGCTCCGGGCGGGGCGTGGAAAAAAAATCAAAACCAGAAAACTACACTTCCCGGCGTGCAGCTGTTTTGTCACCTCCTCCTCCCTCCTCCTCTTCCAACCGAGTGTAAATCTTGCAAAGGCTAACAAAAGAGCAAAGCCAGCAGCGGCAGCACCGGCGAAACCCCGGCAGTAGGCAATACGGGGCCGCAGGAGGACCGGAGCCGCGCTTGCTCCTTCATCCTCGCCCGCGGAAAGAGTGGGTGGGGTGGGGTGATAAAAAATAAAAACAAATCCTTAGAGCCATGGCCGGAGGGACCTCCGCGCAGGTAGGCCGAGTGGGCCCGGGTCTCCCCTACCCCCTGTGCATCCCCGCCTTTGCACACGCACGCACACACAAACACACACACACACCGAGCCTCTTCCTCCTCCTCCGGGCGTGGGGGCGGCGCTGCTGCTCGGCTTGCACCCTCCCCTTAATTCGGATCCAAGAACGACCCCCCCAACCTCTGTGTAACCCTGCCTTTGCACGCGCGCGCACACACGGGCGCGCGCGCCTCCTCCTCCTCCGGGCCAAGCTGCTGCTCGGCTTTCCCCCTCCCCTTAATTCGGATCCCCCAACCCAAGAACGACCCACAGCCCGCCTCCACATTGCTGGGGTGGGGATGTTCGGCTTTTAGGGAGCCGAAAAAGACCCCCTTCTCTTCTTGCCTGTCGCCCCCTCCCCTCTTTGAGCGGCGGGTGAGGGATGTGGGGAGGGGGTGGAGGGGTGGAAAAAGGAAAGTTGCTTTGCTCCGTCTCACACACATCCCCATCGCTTCCCTGTGTGCGCGGTTTGCAGAAGAAGGCTCGGAGCCGCACGGCTTTGGAGGGAGGGGAAGGAAGGAAAATCCCCCTCCTCTTTTTTCTTCCCCGTCCGGGACTTGCAAAGGGAAGGCCGCCTCCCCCTCCCCACTCCCAAGCGCTTTTCTTGTGGGACCTCCCACCTACCCCGGGACCTGGGAGCGGGCGGCAGCTCACAGCTGATTTGCGGAGATGCGAAGATGACCATTGGAGAGAGTGCGTGCAAACAGCCCGCACGTTTGAACCCCCTGCACGCAAAATAAGAGAAGAAGCTGGCAGCTGGGGTTGGGAGCTTCTGCTTCGGGGACGCAGGTGTCTCGGAGGAGAAGGGGGCGCAGCCGGCTTGCTCCGGTTGGCTTGGGGCTCTCGAAGAATCCCTCACCCTCCTCATTTGGGCAAGGAAGGAAAGAAAAGAGAGTGAGAGCATGGGGGGTAGTAAAAGAAGGAAGGAAAGAAAAGGGAATGAAGGAAGGAGAAAGGGAAGGAGGGAGGAAGGAAGGAAGGAAAAGAGCGAGAGAATGAGTGGGAATAAAAGGGAGGGAAGGAAGGAAAAAAGGGAAGGAAGGAGGGAAGGAAAAGAGAAAGACAAGGAAGGGTGAAAGAAAGGGGGAGGGAAGGAAGGAAAAGAGTGAGGGAATGGGTGGGAGTAAAAGAAGGGAGAAAGGAAAAGGGAAGGAAGGAAGGAGAAAAGAAGGAGAAAGAGGGAGGGAGGGAGGAAAGAAAATGGGAGGAAAGGAAGGAAGGAAAAAAGGAAAGAAAGAAAGGCAGTGAAGGAAGGAAAGGAAGGAAAAAGAAAGGGAGGGAAGGAAGGAAAAAAACAAGAATGGGGTAAAGGGAGGGAGGAAAGAGAAAGAGGGAGGAGGGAAAGAAAGAGGGAGGGGAGGAAGGAAAGAAGAGAATGGAAGGGAGGGAGGGAGAAAAAGTGAGAATGGGAGGGAGTAAAGGTAGGAAGGAGAAAAGAAAGGGAGGAAGGAAAAGAGAAGGAAGAAAGGGAGGGAGTGAAGAAAGGAAGAAAAGGAAGGGAAAAGGGAGGGAAGGAAAAAAGAAAGACAACGAAGGATGAGAGAAAGGGGGGAGGGAAGGAAAAGAGAAGGAAGGACGCAAAAGAAAGACCAGAAAGGAAGGAAGGAGAAGAAGTAAAAGGGAAGAGAGGATGAAAGGAAAACAGAAGAAAGGGAAGGAGAAAAGGGAAAGAAGGGAGAAACAGGGAAAAGTGGGGGGGGGAAGTTCTGTGTAGTTTTTGGGGGGAGGAGGGGAGGTCTCCCTCCAGCCCTTCCCCCACCCCGTCCTCACCTGGCCATCCTCCCTACAGGTGCCAGCGGCATTCAGGGATGTGGCCGTCTGCTTCTCGGCCGAGGAATGGGCAGAGCTAACCGGCTGGCAGAAGGATCTCTACCGCGACGTCATGGCCGAGACCTTCCAGCTAGTCTCCTCCCTGGGTAAGAGTTGGAAGGGAGCTCGGAGGCCTTCTAGTCTGACCCCCCCTGCTCGAGCAGGAGAACCCTTACTGAATTAGAGTCGGAAGGGGCCTTGGAGGTCTTCTAGTCCAACCCCCTCCTCTTTCCCTTTGCAGAATGCCTGCTGGCCATCCCTGACCTGCTGTCCCAGCTGGCACAAGGAGAGGTGCCCCAGATCGGTGCCAGACAACCCCCAGGGCAGGACCAGGAATGCCAGGGTAAGGGGGAGGGGGTTCTGGGCAGGGCACCAGGGGGGGTCTCCCACCCTGCACCGGCTTGGGGTGTTGGGGGATGATTCGGCCTGGATCGGGTCATTCGCTATCTGGTGTCCTGAGAGGCAAATAGGAAGGAAGGGAAAGAAACTGAATATGAAACATAGATATGTAATTATGGTCATGTTTGTATGGAAATGTAAAAACCAGGAATCACGCTGTTCACCAAAAGAGATCTTTGTAAAAGATAAAAATAAAAAGCTTTTCGGGGGGGAAAAAGTTAGGAAGGAAGGCAGGAAGGGAAGAAGGACAGGAGGAAACAAGAAAGAAACAGGAAGAAAACAAGGAAAAAAGAGAAAGGAAGGAAAGATGGAAGGAAGGAAAAAGACAGGGATGAAAGAGGAAAGAGATAGGAAGAAAACAAAGAAAGAGAAAAAAGAGGAATGAAAAACGGAAGGAAGGAAGGAAAAAGACAGGGATGAAAGAAGAAAGAGATAGGAAGAAAACAAAGAAAGAGAAAAAAGAGGAAGGAAGGAAAGACGGAAGGAAGGAAGGAAAAAGACAGGGATGAAAGAAGAAAGAGGAAGAAAACAAAGAGAAAAAGAGGAAGGAAGGAAAGACAGAAGGAAGGAAGAAAGGAACAAGACAGGGATGAAAAAAGAAAGAGATAGGAAGAAAACAAAGAGAAAAAAGAGGAAGGAAGGAAAGACGGAGGGAAGGAAGGAAAAAGGGATGAAAAGAAAGATAGGAAGAAAACAAAAGAAAAAAGAAAGGAAGGAAAGAAAGATGGAAGGAGGGGAAAAAATGGATGAAAAAAGAAAGATAGGAAAACAAGGAAAGTTAAAAAGAGGAAGGAAGGAAAGATGGAAGGAAAAAGACGTATGAAAGAAGAAAGAAAGATAGGAAGAAAACAAAGTTAAAAAGAAAAGGGAAAGGAAGGGAAGAAAGACAGAAGGAAGGAAGGAAGAGATAGAAAGAAAGAAAAACAAGAAAAAGATTAAAAAGAAAAAGGAAGAAA